TTGACCTCAGACTCTCTACGAGATTTAAGGATCTAACGATCCTTATTGGCCCACAAAAGGTTAATTGAGGCCGAGATAACTTGTGGGTAGGAAATTAGGACTGCTCTATAGTTCACATGAGATCGACATCATTGACCTAGATAGCTCGCTAGAGAACATCCAAAATTGACGATTTCTCCAATTGATATCCACGGCATTTTTAGAGCGCCCACGTTACCCTAAAGAGCTTCAACATGTCGTCGCCTTCCATCCCCAAAACCATGCGAGCAGTCCGTGTCACGGAGTATAACAAACCATACTCCGTGGACACCATCCCCGTTCCTTCAATAGGCGACCACGACCTGCTTGAGAGCTATCAGCTCATATCTCGATGAAACCCATAAATTCGCTGGTATTTAGCACTCAGAGACTGTACGCGTTTGCTTAAAACTTGTCTTGAGAGGGACCGAATCGACCAGCAGTCTCCCATTCCCAACCATTACCGCAAATACATGAACTAACACCCATCTCACAGGTCAAAGTAGCAGCTGCCTCTCACTGCCACACCGACAGCATGGTACTCGCAGGGAAATTTGGCACCAAGCTGCCCGTAACGCCGTCCCACGAAGGCGGCGGAACCGTCGTCTCGACGGGCTCATCCGTGACATCTTTCAAAACAGGAGACAGAGTCATGTGCGGCTTGCCCCTTCACCCCTGCGGCTTCTGTCCCGACTGTACATCCACGTCCCCTAGCACACGACAATACTGCGCCAGCGTCGAAGGCCACGTCGGCGTCTTCATCGACGGCTGTCTTGCCGAGTACGTCTACTTGGATGCGCGCTTCACCACGAAAGTTCCCGACGAGGTCAGCTTGGTGTCCGCTGCACCGCTCGCCTACGCGGGGAGGACGGTGTGGCGCGCCGTCCTGCAAACCGGACTTAAAGAGGGAGAATGGGTCGCGATCGTCGGTTCCGGCGGCAGGTTAGGACATCTAGGGATTCAATTTGCCAAGAATCGTAAGTTGAAGGTAATCGGGATCGACGCGCGGGATGAAGGGCTTTCGTTCTCTAGAGAAAACGGCGCTGATGTCGTGCTTGATGCCCGTAAGGAGAAGGAGGTGGTGGTTAACGAAGTGAAGAAGGTTACTGGGGGATATGGCGCAGATGCGACGATAGTACTCAGTGATGCAGACAGCGCGGCCGCGCTTGGGTGTGCGGTGACGAGGATGCATGGGACGTTCGTGGAGATCGCGCAGCCGGACGAAGTCAAAATTCCGTTCAAGGAGCTAATTTTTAGGGATATAAGGGTTAAGGGGAGCTTCCTTTGTAGTCCCAAGGAAAGCAAGGGCATGATGGATGCAATTGTAGAAAGGGGCTAAATATTAAAACGAATAGGTTTGAGGGTTTGGAGAAGATTCATGAATTGGTTGAGTTGGTGCGTGGGGGCAAGATTGAGGGGAAGGCGGTGGTCATTGTAGATTCGGGACAGATTGAGAAGGAGAAGGAATTGGGTGTGAAGTGGTGAGCATATGTGAGATTTTGAATCCGCAGTACGTGGCTCTGGAGCAGTTTTGTGCAAGGTATTAGTTTAATACCTCTGTAGCATATATAGAATGAGGCAGGGGAATAGGATTATCATTCTAGTCTCTCACTTAGAGAGTAATAATGACCTAATAGTTAGCGATTGAATTTAGACATAGAATTCTCGAAAGGTGTAGTCAGCTTGACAAATAAGTATACATAAAAAACTGCGCAGATGAAAGAAATTGTGTTCATTGAAAGGTATAATTCTAGTAATAAAGTTATATGTATGCATACGAATAAAGTCAAAAGTCATGGTATCATCAAACCCCACATGGTGATTGCTCCCAGATGCTCTTAACTCCTTTCCTACCAATCCCAAACTCTGCTCACTTTTGGCATCTGTAAAACAACTCGTGAGTGTCTAATACCCACTATCCCACAGTTCATCCTCGCTCTTCACCAGTTCCTTTGGTGTCTGCGGTCCATTACGCTTCTTCTCCATTTTCTCCTTCAGCTTTCGTTCTTCTCTCGTTACAAGCCGCGGCGTTATTGGAATCACGGGCGAAAATGGCTGATATGGACTATACGGTACAGCGTTTGCTGACCAAGGCGTATTCAAACCACCCGTTCGAGGGCCATTTGATGCACTTGTCCGCTCCAAAATTGTAGTTTTTGTGGACTGTGCGAAGGAGCTGTAGCTTGGCGATGTGATCGCTGGTTGAAATTGACGGAATGGAAGCGCTCGCGTCGAGTTGTTCGCCGAGCCTGTAGGCGGGTATGACGCTTTGATAGAAGTTGCAGAGGTAGCGGATTGGGGTTCTGGTTGTTGGGAAGAGGCAAACGATGCTTGGCTTGGGTTATGTTTGTGGAATGCAGATTTGCTTCCGGGGCCATATGCACTGAGTTGTTCCGCTATTGAGCGGGTGGACTTTGTGGGAGAAAGAGGCGGACGTTCATTAGAGGTTGGTCGTGGGTGAATATATGGTTCTTGATCTTTTGGAATGGGAGGTGGTGGAGGCGGCGTATAGTATCGAGGTGTAAGAGGTTCAGATTCTTCCTCGTGTGCAGGTTGGTTTTGCCAACGCGTAGACGCAGGAGATGCAAGTGGGCTAGAAATGTGCATTTTTGAAGCCTTCTTTCCAGGAGACATTAAAGCGGAAAGTATACTGGAGGATCGAGAAGCGCTTTTCGTATGTTCCCTGGGCGAGCTCTGCAGATCAATATTTGATGGCCTGCGCTTTTCGATTTTCTTCTGTGGAGAGTTCACTCGCTGTGGCGCAGGAGCAGGAACTGGACCTGCTGCTTTCAAGGGCTCTGGGATTGGCAAAGTATCGACCGATTTACCGGCAGCTTTCGCCTCCTCTTGTGCCATGACGTGGGCGTAAATGTCCTCTAGATCTCGCTGCAGCATATGTTGATCTCTCTCGACAATTCTTGTATCCACGTCAGGGTGATCTAGCGAAGGAGGTGTCTTGGGAGAATAGGGTGATTTGGGGGACTGAGGAGATGTCGCCGCGCCTGGAAAGACGTATGGCGTAGGTGCACTCTTTTCTTCTGCTGGCCAGGAGGGTCGAGAAAAGTTTCTTGTAGGGCTTTTGAGCCCAGGCGAGGTTGGAAGATGAGTTCTGAGAGGTGGTAATCTGGGTTCTGTCATTTCTATATCTCTGGCAAATATCTCAGCAAGGCGGCGATGTTTCCTCCTAACAAAGAATATGCCAATGAGCACAAGTAGAAGACAGCCGACGTATGCTCCAACAATGCCAATGATTTCGAACTTCAGATGTGCTGGGTCTCGACTTGCGTCTGCCGACAGAGGTGGTCCGTCTTCAGGCGAAGGTGCGGGATCCCAATCGATTCCCAATGGATTGCTCTTTGGCACGTCCGTGAGGATATCGGCTGAACTTATACTGGCAAGTCCCAGGAGGAGTTGTAAGACAAATGGTGTTCTAATCACTGTCTCAGGTACAGTACGCATGGTGCTGCATCGGTGAAGGCAAACAAGGAGCAACAGCTAAGTATACCCTCTACAGTAACAGCAGACCCGAAACGTATTGCGAGACGATTTCGACATGGAATGGAAAACAGGAGTGAGTCCTTTACCAGACAGCCGGGCGGTTGTGGTGATATACCGACCCCAAGCATGGCGGTGGGAGGATGGCGAGAGGTCAGTTACGGGCCGCCATTGGCCAGAGGCCGTGATATCGATTGCCATCTGCCCAGGGACTTGCTCAGGAACATGCATAAGCATGGGAATAGCGGTAGCTGAGGAGTGGCCCTGCTGCACGGAGAACGCAGCTGTACTGGCTCGGGAGTGGGTGAGTGATGTACCCCTCAAAGCGTTGGAAGAAGTGGCTGGGGAGGTGATAGGTTGGAGGCCATGAATTTAAGCGCCCGGCTTTCAGACGGGAAGGGCATTGGTAGACGAGGCTGCCCAGTGGTGGGGTAACAGCAGATCGCAGAACTTTTCAGCACTCGAACCACAAGCTTGCACCGCTTGACATGAATAATAAATAAAGAACATTATGAGCCCCATAACGGGATATCCCCTCTGATGAGACAAGCCGAAATCACATTTGCGGATTTCAGGTGACTGGTTCGGCGATTATTTTAAGACTTTGATTCGAGATCATCGACGTTGATTCGACCTTTCTCGGCCTTATCGCCGCTACAAAGCTCAAAAATGTGATTGCACTATCATGCGATGTGAGATTTTGTTGTCAATGGCTGTTTTGATGTTTGACGATACGAATGAGTGTTCATCCTTCGTGATAAGCAGGCGTTCGTCAGTATCATGAGGTGATACCTAGCGGTGATCATTGTGACGAACGTTAGCACAATCAATCTGATTAGTCTAAACAAAGACAACATTCCGATCACATTTGATCTGAACACTGCAGTCCCAGAGCCAGTCTTCAATTCGTTATTTCTATGGTTTCTTGTTTCTCGCTCATTTCAGAGAAAAGTGGCTAATCTCCGATCAAGAAGCTCTGCCTATTACTTTATACTAGCATTGCTTTGCGATAGCAACACTCTGTGGTGGCATGAAAAGTCCGTGCTGCTCCGCTGCTGCTGCGGATCTTGCATTTTCCCATCCCGCTGCAGATCTGGGGTGGAATGTTTCTGGTTTCATTGAGTTGTCGAAACTATCCGAATAACATGCGCCAAAGGCTTGATGAGGCATCCATTCCATCTACATGTTACTGATGTTAGTATATAGATTTGATCCAACTTGATATCTCATGGATCTCAACAATCCAGTCAGCATAAAGACTCAGCAAACAAGCGGTAAAATATCATTATTTCGAAGCCTTTGCGCCACTGAGTAAGTATAGGTTCTGTCCTGGTTTAAACACTTTAAGCGAACGAAATAGGGGGTTCCTTGAAAGTGGCCCAACCATCAAACAAGCTAAAATAGGGCCGGCCCAACAATCAATCCACCAAGAAAGACATAACGTTTATATATCCTCCAAAAAGATAAAGAAAATAGGGTAAAAAGGTAGGTCTTACTGGGAATCGAACCCAGATCCCGAGAATCAAAATCTCATGTGCTCTGAATTTAGAATTAATAAACGAATGCATTTTAAAAGACTTTTAAGGCTACTAACAACCATTACACCATAAAACCTTTGCGTTTGGCCCTAGGGGTTTTAGGTGCAAAGATATTGTTGACGTAGCCGAGCTCCACTTGGTAAAATAATTGTGAAAGGCAAACATTGCCTCTAAAAGGCGCCGCGAAGTCTGACAAAGTAATCGCGCTTTGCATTATTTCGTTGTCACCTACTCGAAGACTTAGGATGTGTACATAATGATAGCATTGCTAAAAACACTGAGTGAGTGTATCCTATGCGCCTGTTCTGGCAATCTGCCTCCGTTACCTATCTCGTGCCCGAGTTCGTTCATAAATACAATGTACAAAAGAAATGGTATCATCTCCTCCTCGAGCTATCGCACTCCTCAATAAAGCGGTATATTCCTTCCAGTCCCTCGTAATCAGCCGACGAAGGGCTGTGAAGATCGCCGGGCTTAGTAAAGTAATCGGATTCATGTTCACTGATGTTTTCCATGCTCTCATATCCTTCCAGCCATGGGTTATCTATAAGATCATCCACTTCCTCGAAATCATGATCAGGCTGAGAGCGCATGGAACCTCCTGGCGAGGAAAGTGTATTCTCTGATGATGGTGCATATGGAAAAATTAAGGCGACTTGTGCACCAACGCTTTCATCAAAGTCTTCGTCCTGATAAATGATTCCTCGTTGTACGCCCACTTCATCGCAGAGCCTTTCTACGCTAGCAGCATCACATCCAGGAAATCGAATTCGTAGAATCGAATTCTTCTCCAGCGTGACAGGAAGATCACCAAGCAACGAAAGGCACTTGAGATCGTTCATAGTCATTGCTAGATCCTTCAAAGCACGAGCAAAGTCAACAGATAGAACATCTAGGAATCCTTCTGTATTGAGGTTTGGTGCGGATTGTTTCATGACAGAATCAAATGGGAAAGTGGCTCCAAGAGGGCTGAGTGCTGTGATCGTCGGATTGACCGGGAAGTCGATGTAAGAGCCCGGAGCATTCATCGACACCGTTCGCATTTTATGGGTTGTTTTCGCTTGAGTAATCGAGACACTTCGAAATCTCTTCTCACCTCTCGGGGTCATTCCATCAAACTGAGCTTTTTGTCCTGAAAGACAAAATGCACGGAAAGCATTGGAAACATTAGACACCACCTGTGCCGGAGCCGCCGGAGTATGCGAGAAATACCTGGCTCCCCCAGCACGACTTCCACCGAGAGTGTATCCTCCAGCAGTTCTTGGGAAAGCCCCACCAGTAAGGTTGGGGCGCAAGGTAGAAGCAAATGGAGCACTTGTTGTCAATCGACTAACAGCTGTGGCTGTTGCAGACTTTGGGAATGCCGCTCGGTTGTACTTGATAGCTGGTCCACTGCTCATGAAGCGACGAAGGGAAGCATTGATCGTGCTGTGAGTTGTGTACCATCTTCCCTTGTTCTGGCGGAGGCATGCAAGCGGGTGTATTGGGTGACGTGGAGTTGATCGCACAAGGATTGGTTCAAGTTTGGCATGTTTTGAGACAGATATCTTTTCAAGCCGGGCTTTAATAAGGGTTGTAGTCTTCTTGAACGCGTGCCTTCAGAATGTCAGTGCTTGATCTATCCCGCGAGGACCGCAGAACTAAGCAGATTTAGGCTTGTAGAGATTAGGGAGTTACCTTAGTACTCTCATGGCAATAGGAGCCATGAGGCCTGCGGAAGGCGCCATATTGAAAACGATTCTGTAACAATACGCTGAAGTTGTCTACGAAGACTTAACTTGTGGAGGACGAGGTTGCCACCCATATATGGTTGAGCCACAGCTGTGGCGTAGGTGCCCCTAGCCTGAAATAAACTAGCGCTAGACTAGGAGCGAAGGCGGAGCACTTTACTTAATTCGCGAGCTTCATCTTTTTTCAACCTTTTAATTTTCTCTCTACGCTACAACCAAAGCATCTGTCCCAACAGCCACCGTCAGAGATTTCGTATCTGATCCATATGCCTCGAATTCCTTTCATTTATGCCTAATACGGCCTTCAAGTAAGTGCCAACTCATATATTTTCCCCACAGTCTACTATGATGAGATAAAATACATATTGAACAATCCAACTCTTACACCGCCATGGGGATTTGTATCTACTGTACTGAGCTTTCAACTGCTGCACATGTCCATCATTTCTTGCCTAAGCCAGTATACTAATTGTTTCAGCAGTGATTCCCTGGTTTTTTGGCAGGCCCGGGACCAGTTTTTCCAACAACAGGTGACTACTATAAAAACATATTCGACATAGGCTGTTCGCAGTGGCAGTTATCACATATCTCCTCCAATGATAAGATCAAAGGTTTGTGGGATAAAATTTTCTGTTACTGTGAGATGGGTTATGTGATGATCAAACCGACTCAATAGGAATTCCTCATTCTGAAGTTATCATGTTGACAAGTCTGCATTAAGTTTCAGCCTTATCTGATCGCCCAACTATATCTATCATTAATTATTACTGCTAAATCAAAATATCCGGCTAACAAATGATATAAATAGGTATATACTCAGGCTCCTCATTCCTCCCTCTCGCATTACATGACGAACTTTGAACGAACGGGCGGACAGACTGCGTACTCCTACCCCTACTCTCATCAAAAGCAAGGCGTACAAACCTTGTGAGGGTAGACGGACTGGAAGTGCTTGTTGAGAACTCGTCAGCTGATTCAATGCATACGAACCATAAAATTGCTATCTGCGCTTGGTCCTGAGCAATGCTAACATCAAACCCTAGGTAAATAGATTTTCTCTTTCCGGTCCAGTGGCAAACTACAGCTTAGCATGATGAACGTTTTATTCACACTGTTTGAGCTCTTGAAAAAGAGCGATGAACATATTATACAAATTCTGATTTAATGAGGTACGTAGCAACGCCATATTTTGCCTCATACCAATAGCTAACATTTTTAGCCTGATATAAGCACTTGACTTTTGCAGCATTTGTACTTCAGCTCCATTCAGACCATCGCTAACTGTGTGGTTGATCGCAGGCAATGGCCCACCTTTTTATTTTATTTTTTAATTTGACTTCCTCAACTGTAAGCAGCTCCCTGTCTCTTTAACACAACTCACCCTGATGAACCCAAATATTCGCTGTGTTCTTTCTGAATTACATTGAAGAAACCCATATTTCACCTTGGAGAACTGAATTTGTCTCTCATTTTCGATCACTCTGCATTCTGCCTCTAGTATGAGCTTGAACTGACATGAAAACAGGTAATGGTCAATCCTAGGTAGGCATCAACTTGAATTGCTATCGTTCTTGCCTGAGTGCATGTTATCATAATGACGAATAAACGGATAAAATTTAAATTTATTCTGAAGTTACTTGAGTGTCTCGAATGTGCCTCCATCCTTAGTATCCACGTTCACATTATATCAAAGCGTCCTCTATAATAAATTACATGCTCTGCTGTTCACCTTCGCTCCAAACCGTTGCCCTTAAACTGCATCTTTTAAAAACCATCTTTGATTACCTGTCTTGTGTTAACCTGTCTTGTGTTACCTCAGCTAGATAATTCGACCTAGATCTGCCCCACCTCCACCGCCTCATCACCTCAGATCTCTATCCGCAATGATGACAATTCTATTCCTCCTTGTAGAGCGTATGCTGCTGCCATGGCAGAATCGCCACTGACAATTCGCAATCTTACTTCGAGTCTAATTGAATTGAAGCTGCTTGAACGTTTCGAAAATGCCCAGTCCAATAATGCTGGCAACTTTACCCTCATCACGAAACCCTTCAGTGGTTTGTTGAGCAATGCAACCACTCTTTCATCATCTCAATTAGCTACCAAGTCAGAGACCTTTACAAATACAGAGCTCTCTGTGCCAATTGGTCCATTTGAGACCAAGATTACGGATATACGCCTCGGTGCTAGAGAAACGCTACGTTTAACTTTCGAGGTTGAGAGCCAGAGATATAGGGTCGATATTCCAACACCCTCTTCACGCTCAACCGTCCTGACGCCCCTTTCGCCGAACCCACAACATGAATTCACAGCTGTATATCTGCCAACTTCCTCTCATCTCTCGATCTATTCCTCCGCGAACCTAGAATCATGGATGAGCAAGCTCCGAAGCGAGACTCCTTTATCTGCCCTGAGCATACCAGGCACGCACAATTCGCCTACCTGCTATAAAGCTCTGCCATCTGTCCGCTGCCAGGCTGTAAGCGTAAAGCGGCAATTAGAGAATGGTGTGCGCTTCCTCGATATTAGGGTCCAACCACAAAATCCCAGTGATGCTTCAAAAGAAGAGCTGATCCTCGTACATAGCGCCTTTCCAATATCCCTAACAGGAAACAAATATCTACGCGACCTTATAAAAGTCATATTCGCCTTCCTCGACAATAACCCCACGGAAACCGTTATTATATCACTCAAGCGTGAGGGGGTGGGGAAATCTACCGATCAACAACTTAGCAAGATCTTACACGATCACTATGCTACGGATCCAAACCGCTGGTTTACAGAGAACCGCGTCCCCACCCTCGGCGAAGCTCGAAGCAAAATAGTAATAATCCGCCGGTTCGCAATCGACGACTCATTAAAAGGCGAAAATAACGGCACGGGCTGGTGCATTGATGCGGAGTCCTGGCCGGACAACTGTGAGGATGGGCTCTGCTCAAGCGGGGAGATACGGGTACAAGATTTCTACGAGGTAGGCGAACACGAGAACATTGAGAAGAAGATCGGATATGCTACTGGGCACTTAGACCGCGCGGCGAAGTGCGTGTGTGTTTTACATGGAAAAGAAACCATTACAACACCTGAAGCAGGCAAACGATGCTTCTATATCAATTTTCTGAGTGCCAGTAATTTCTGGCGCGCGAATTGTTGGCCGGACCGTATTGCGCATAAGGTGAATCCCAAGATTGTGGACCATCTTTGTCGAAGCCATGCTCGCGATCCTGAGGGAGATGGTGGTACCGGCATTGTGGTTTGTGATTGGGTTGGGATAGACGGTGATTGGGATCTAATACGGTGTATCGTGGGACATAATGCAAAGCTCGAACTACTTGAACGGTGACATGAC